AGGGCACACACCACGGAGCAGAGCTGGGTTCTTAATCTCCGTTTCCTGCTTCCTCGAGGCTGCTTCAGCCAGTGTCTCGCAGCTGCTGTTACAGGCGTTCCAACGCCCTAAGGCTGCCTCTCAGCGGCTTTTACAAGCCACCGTATTGCCGACTTTCTCCTGTTGGTAACCAGACATTCTCTCCCAGCTTATCAGAGACCAGAGTCTCATTCTGTCCCCAGACGCCCACCAGTATACGAGACTGTCCAGGAAAGTGCAGAGCCCCGAGTTAGCTCATGGTCTATGGGCGCTTCTCTAAGGCCCCACGGCATGGCCTGAGATGGGGGGGTGGCAAGCTGGTGGCCAACAGGCATGCCTGGCCTGCAGAGGGAGTCTGCCTGGCCTGCACCGTCTTGGGTATTATTTTTACTTGGTGCCCAACATTTAACTTCAGAAGAGTTCTCTCCAAAATCAGAAGTCAGGAGCGTTCAGTTCTGCTTCTGTGTAGTCAGGACGGGCTGGGCTCACCCCTGGAAACAAACACCTCCGAGTCTCGGACACCTCCCACACGGACGTTTATGCCTTTCTCACGCTGCATGCGCAGTGCGAGCGGCCCGGGGTCTCTGTTCCATGCAGTCATTTCGGGGCCCGGGCTGATGGAGGCCCTGCCATCCTTCAGTGGCATCTGAGACACGGGGCCATGTCAGTTGCTGCTTCAGGGAAGGAAGAGACAGAAGAGTGCATGGATGTCGCACAGCCTCAGCATGTTACACACATCTGATTTCTGTTCACTTGTCATTGACTGGATGTGGTCACGTGGCCCATCCACATTCCAAGAGGGCTGAGAAGTACAGTCTTCTGTGAACGCTAGTTTCACTAGTTCTGATATTGGTGAATACTAGTCTGCCACACTTTCGTATTTGGCAGCAATTCACTGGAGCCGAGTGAGCATGCCCCTCTCAGGGCTGCCATAGACTGGTGTTCAGGATGTGCACTGCACAGCTGCAGGAGGCACCAAACATGTCATGGTTTCTGGGATCAGTTCTTCCTGCAGATGTGCAGTGACAACCTACACGGCTGTCCGGAGCAGCCCTTCCATCCCTAGACAGGTACATGTGTTCCACTTGCCCCAGTGCCAGGCGAACCTCTTCACTGAAGTCTCGGTAGCATTCCGATTGCACCCTCTGTCTTAGAGTCACTAAGTGGATTCAGCCTAAATGCCAATTCCTCATCAATATCAGCTTCCTATAGGGTAAAGTCCAAACTCCTTCGCAGGGCATTCATAGAACTTACAAATGGGCCTCAGCTTCTTCACGCCAGCTTCCCTTCTCCAGCTATCATGTGTCCCCATCCTCTTGTCAGTAATTCCTGAAGTGAGTTAGATGGGCCTCTGAACCCTCCGAGTGCTCCCTAAAGCAAATCAGCTTGGGAAATAGGTCACACTCCATCCTGCGCTGGAGAGCCACGGTGGACACTGTGTATTAAAAGTTCTGACAAGTCCTGCGTGTCGTTTCACTTTGTTTAATCCAGTGCTGCTGATCCTGCCCTTTACTCACACAGGAGCCATGATGTCCCAGGAGGAGGACCATCCATTCACCCAACACATTCTGCCCGTGTAGATGTCTGCACTGTTCCCTTCCTCACGCTGCCTTTCCTGAAGTCAGCTTAGCAGTTCCTATGCGTCCCGCAAATGCCTCTCCTAAAGATGCCCCCCGTGTCCTGTGTCACACTGAATAGTTATTCTGTGTTGGGCTCCCTCTGGCCCAGGACTTCTGTAGGACAGAGCTCTGACCCCAGGGCCATTGACCGTGCTGCCCCCTCTCTGCAGCTCACAGCAGCCTCCACACCCTGTCCCTGCACGGGGACATTTTTGGCCACTGGCACGTACCACAGTGGTGCTCAGTCCTTTTCTTTCCTCGGGGTGGGCAGGACCCCTGGACTTGGCCATACACACTCATACTCATCCTCAGTGGCTCTCGGAGGGCAGACGAATCTCAAGTCAACGCTGTCCTTTGAGTCCTCGTATGTTAAAAATGTGAAGAAAGCCCCGAAGCGTTACAGAGCTGTGGGGCAGTTTACATACGTGCACTGAACCGTTCACTAGCTCACTCGGCGCTGGTCAGAGAGCTGTGGGCCCAGGGAACACAGCAGAGGGTCTGTTTCCATGGCCGCTTGCTCCTGAGGTGGCATCGAGGAGGGGCGGAGGCGGGAGGTCGGAAGGGGGCCCCTTTTCTGTGGGGCGGGTGGGAAGGCCTCTGACGGGATCTGAGGGAGAGAGGGATGAGGCACGTGGAGAGCTGTGGGGAGAACCTTCCAGAGGAAGGGAAGGCACAGGCGAGGCCCTGACAGAGGCTTCAAGGAGCCGGGCTGGAGCAGAGCAGGCGGCTCTGGATGGGGATGGAGCCGGCTCGGGCTGCTGAGGGGACCTGCCGAAGCCTGAGAAGGAGCAACGCCTGACAGAGCATCCCTGAGTCTGCGCAGCACCTCTCGGGGTCTGAGTCTGCGGCTTGTTGACGGGAGGCCCGGCCAACCCTCGTGCCCACAGCCCCTTCCTTCCCAGTCAGAGAAGACGCCAGGCCCCACGGCGCCCTGTCCGCTTCCTGCCACATGTGGGTCGTGGGCCCATTTCACAGGCTAGGGAACTGGGGCTTGGACGAGGGACGAGGCCCTGGGGGAGAGTGTGGCCTGCTTCCAGAATGCTGCCCAGGTGCCCGCCTGGGGACACCCTGTGGGGATGCAGGAGGGCAAATCAGTCTGATGCCCCGGCACAGCAGGAGAGACCAGAGCCCCAGAGGGCCGGGAAGCCCTGCCTCGGCCGAGGCCTGAGCTGGTCCACTGAGGAGGTTGGGGATCGAGTGGGCTCCTGGGTCTGGGGTTCACCTCCTCCATTCCGTCCTGTCCTCCTGGGCAGAGGGAGCCAGAGGGGCTCAGGGGAGGGGTCCATGCACATCGAAGGCCCCAGGATGTGGGAGGCGGGGTGGGGACACCCAGCATTTTCCTTCCCGCAGTGGGCGTTTCAGGGGAAGAGCCGGCTCTGAGGCGCTGGAGGGAACCGCGGCCTCTGTCCAGCCTGTGGCCTCAGCACACGGCCTGACCCCTGCAGGCCTTGGGGCCTGCTCATGGGGGAGCCTTCAGTGTGTGCATAAACCCGGTGCCTCCCCTCCGGGTCCCAGCACAGCCCCGCTCACAGAGGGCCTGGTCTGCCCAGTCCTACCCACGGAGCTGCTCCACGGAGACTCGTGGTGGCTCGTGGGCCACATGTGACCAATGCAGTGCCTGAAAATCAAGCCAGTTCCTATTCTAAAAGTCCAGATTTCCAGCTCCTCTTTGAAACAGCATGGCCAGCCACGCTGGGCCTGCCTCGCGTGCACCACACCAGCCGGAGCCCAGAGCGTCTGCCCACAGCAGCCTCCCTCTGGGCTCGGCTGTGGCAGAGGAGTTCTCAAGCCTTGCCCTCACGAAGGTGATGGAGGGCTCCGGCAGGGGCTTCGCTCCTTGCCACCCCTAGAGCCAATGAACCAACCTTCTGTGACAGTTCCCAGGGCAAAGGTCACTCACACCCCTGCAGGCTGGGGCCCTGTGACATGACTGTTCCCACGGGCAGGCAGCATGCGCAACCCCTCCGTCCTCCACCAGCCACAGGGGACCGGTGTGGGTGGGTGGGCCACCCCTAGGGGTCAACCCCCCCCCCATTCCATCCTGCCCTTCTGGGGCTGGAAAGGCTGAGGGGAGGGACGGCCTCATGGAAGTTTCCAGAATCCCTAGTGGAGGGGAGTGGGGAGTCTCCAGGGGCTTACAGACGCACACTGCCCTGGCCGCCTGTCAGGAGAAGACATGGATGGAATGTCCCCAGGGCCAGGGGTGCAGGAGGAGCAGCAGTGCAGCCCAGGAGCCTCCCCCACAGACTGGCACCCCCAGACCAGGGCGGGGCCGGGCCTGTGCCCACCCCTCCCCAGGGCCTGGGAAGAAAGGAGACAGGTGGTCAGGCAGGCAGCCTGGAGACCTGCGTTCCCAGCTGGGGTCGCCCCACCACTGTGTGACCCCAGGCTAGACCCTCCACCTCTCTGGGCATCACTTTGAGGTGGTAAGGAAGGGGGGGTGCCCTTGATGGTCTCTAGGGATGCTTTTCACTCCGAAAGTCTCCACATCCGCCTTGAATGGCCCGCCGCACCCACCGCAGCCGCGGGTTACACAGCCCACACGCTGGGCACTGCGCAGCCTGGCCCTGCGCCAGCCGGCCTCCCACACACGGGGTTTGGGGCTCAGCCACGCCTGGCACACCCCATGGGAGCAGTAAACTCTGCCAGCTCCCACCACTCGGGGGAGGAAGCTAAGACCGGGGAGGGTCCCCACGAGCAGAGCGCTCCGGGGCCACCACAGGCCCGTAGTGAAAGCCTCCCCTGGAGCTGTGCCGCCCATGGCCCTGGTCACTCAGTAGGCAAGTGACAGTGCCAGAGCCCCACAGGGCTTCCAAGTCACAGCCTCCAGCGTCAGCCACCCCGCTCCCCCTCCTGCAGGCCCCACCCTGCCCCCAAGGTAAGCGTAGCCCCAGTTTAATTCGCCACATTTGGGGCTGCCCAGTGGTTCCTGGTCCTGTACCCTCCCCAGGAACTGGACCAGTCACCCCAACGTCACATCTGCTGCACAGCATCCCCCACTATCCCAGCTTCCTCTCCCCAACCCCTCGCTTCAGTTCAGGGAGGGGACCCATTTTAGGCGCCGGGAGAGCTGCCCCCAGGAATGCAGGTGGGCACCAGGGGGCATGCGCAGCGCTGGTCCAATGGGTTCTAAGCCCTAAGGCCCATTTGGAGGGAGCTCTCCTCCAGGGCCACTGCCTTGAGTTGGGTGGCAGAGGGAGCGACTGAGACCCCCTTTACGCTGTGGGCCCTGGGTCCTTCTCTGCAGCTCTCAGGTCCTACGGAAACCCTCCATCACCCCAAAGCAGATTCCAGCCTGGTGTGTACTCATCTCAGGGACCCGAAGAGAGGCCAAGAGCCTCATTTGGCGGTTGTCTTTCTTACCAGCTCCGAATGTCTCCTGTTCATCATGCTTGAGGGCAGTTTTAGGAAAAAGGTTTTACAGCTGCTGTAGAAAGAGTAAGTAATGCAAGTTGGGGGAAGAAAGCAAATTCACGGAGTCCTTTCCGCAGACGCTTGCTGAGCAGGTGTGCACTGACAGAGGCAGATAGATGACCCGCAATTACCTGCCTGGATCCCCCGGCCTCGCCCAGGCTCCCTCCTGCCTGGTCGCCAAGCAATTTCAGACTTTCTGTACATCTAAAGCAGAGATTGTCAACGATTTCTCTCTCCAGCAGATGTGGCTTTCAGGTAGGGAGACAGCCCCAGCGTGTTTATTCTCGAACAAAGGCAGTTGGAGACAGAACAGGCGCGCGGCCCTCCCCCAGCCACCGGCTCCTCGCTCTCCCCCAGTCGGGCTGCAGAGGGGTGACCTGAAGATGTGTGCCCAGCTCAGCCTCCACAGAGTGCCGGGAACACAGGCTCGGGCTGCTCTGCTGCCTTCCCGTGTGTGGGGCTGATCGTGGCTGCACTGGCAGGAACAGGTGACATCTATAAGATGTCACGGGGCCAATGTGGCCTGTCCCTTGACTGTTCCAGAGCTCGGGCAGGCCCCTCTGGACTCTTCTCTCCTAGGAGGGAGGGAGCATTTAAAGTGTCTGGTTTCAGCAAGAGGTCCCCTAACCAACGCCCCAGGACAAGGGGAGAAAGGGGGTGGTGTGGGCAGGCATGCGAGCTGCTGGCACTCACATGCACACCGCGGGGCGGGCGTCCGAATTCGCAAGTGTCACCTCCATTCTCTCCCCAGCGCCCTGTTGGCTCCTGTGGTGAAGGAGGAATCTGGGCCTAAGAGACACCCCAAGACCACAGGAGGGAGCAGTTCCAAATTCAGCCACCAACTGCCACCTTCAGGATTTAGGTCACATCTACGTACCATGGCTGCACTTGTTTACGCTTTCTGCTGTCGTTGTTTTAAACCGAGTAATACAATCACGTGGTTCTAAAAGCAAAACAAGGCTAGAAGGTGAAAGAGGAGGTCTCTCTCCCACTCTGCACTGTCATCCAGGTCCCCAGCCCCCACCAACCACAAGAGGCTGGTAAGGTTGTTAGGTTTTTGTCTGTCCTTCCAGAGTATCTTTATGGAAGTATACCAAGGATGAAGACATATTCTGATTTTCCCTCCTTCTTGTGCAAAACATAACATATGCCTATAGACGGTTCTGTATCTTGATTTCTCCCTTGATGTAGTGCACGGATGCTCCACTTTGTGCATATGAGCCGGCACGTGGATGAGGTATTGACCGACTACAACAGCAAAAGATGGGGAGCAACTCAAGTGTTCCCCACGAGGGGGCCGGCTCGAGGAGCTGTGGCCTGTCCGCACAATGGGAGACTCTCCTGTAGAAAACAGAGGAGGGGGGAGATGAGGAGGCTTCTCTGTTCCAACCGGGAAGATCTTTACTCTCCAGGCTACATTAATTGAACAGGAGAGGGGTAGGATAAATGCCCCAAAGTGGGATTTTTGGGTCAAAGGACACATGCCTTTGCAGCTTTAATAGATATTGTCCAATCTTTTGTGGCTTCTGGATTTTTGGGTCATAATTTGAAAGATCTTTTCATTTACTTAATATTTTGCTGTACATCAATTAATTTTTTTAGTAAGTGTATTTTAAAGGGATATTAGAGTAAGGAAAAAACCCAGAAATTGAAAAAGAGTGAGGGACAAGTCAGGGTCTTTCATTACAATAGAACTGAACAGAATTCAAAGCAATAGAAAGGTATTCTGGCTGACGTAAACAGAAAGGGCACTTGTTAAAGGATATTTGGACCCCTCAGACCCGCTGGGGGGGTCCTAGCATCATGCTTAGAGGCTAAACATCCAGAGAGGAACCACAAGGACATCGCTGCCCGTGCCTTTGGCTTTGACACCCCAATCTGCCCAGCTGGGCCCCCGGTCCTGCCCCCTGCTTCTGGGAGCCAGATGAAGCTGCTCCCGCAGCCGGCGCAGCCCCTGCCATCAGTAGACAGATTACCGGATTCCGGGTGGTGCCTGCTTCTTTGTGACCCTCATTAGTTGGAGGGATGTGACTGATAGGGGTCCTAGCGGTCAGAAAGGCTTAGAGGGCGAATGTCTGGCATTTCAGCTTACACAGAGGGAGGCAGGCTCTTCCTTGTTAGGAAGAAGGTGCTGGTACTAGGTGGCCAAAAAGAATGATGAGAGTCCACTCTCAGAAGGACAGGCCATGTCCCCAGAGACACAGTGCTGCATAGGGGACCAGATGAGTCAGACCTGCACAGAGAGAAGGGTCTGGGGCTATGATCTCAAGGACCCAGCAGGCGGGACAACTGTGGAAACATGGAGCAGCCAACCCAGAGGTCTGGGAACTCCAGAAGAGGGGCAGGAGACTAGAGCAGAGGGGAGGACGAGGCCTGGGGAGGTGGGACGATGGGGAGGCTGGGAGGAGTGTGAGGACAGTGGAGGATGGGGGCCAGGGCCGGAGAGTAGAGCAGGGGTGCGGAGAAGAGGCCCTGAGCCTGGAGGGTGGACTTGGGGACCTGGGAGGGGCAATGGGCCGTTAAGGGAAGCCAGGCAGAGGGGAATGAGCTGAGGATGATGTGGGCACAGAGTAGGTCAGAGGACAGGTAGACGCCCAGGGGAAGGGGCATAGAGCACGCACCCCCAGACTAGGCTGCAGGGGCACCTTCCCGAGCCTGGCAGAGAAGGCGCACCAGCCAGTGAAGGTCCAGCAGCAGAGCTCTCATGTCCCCTGCATTTCCCCTAAGTCCCCAGGGACATCTGGACCCCACTTTGGCAATCTGGGATGGTATTTTTGCTATAGCTGAGCCTCCATCACAACGCACGCAGCCACAGCAGCGACACAGAATCCCCGCCGCTGTGGGCGCTCCAGCTCTCGGGCCCCTTAGCCCAGTCCTCTTTCTCTTTGCTGCTCTTTCCATTTGTGTCGACCCTGCCTGGAGCGGCTGCTGGGCCCTGCGTCTTCCTGGCAAGCTGACATCTTCAGCGAGGTGGGGGGGACCCTTCTCCTTGCACACCCCCAACAGCGGCGCACCCCAGGCTGTGTGTGGATCTTCCATTATTCATAGCTCTCAGATCTCGGGCTGGAACCGGTGCCGTTTTCATCTATAACTCCCAGCCCTCTCCTCTCACGATGCCTTTGCATTTGATCTTCTGCAAATTTGCCTCTTTGTTCTTCAGACAGAATCATATTGCCAGGGGCTCCCGACGGCCCTTGGTGGCACAGACTACCACGGAAATTCTCTTTAAATAAAAAAATAAAAACGTCCCCAGAGCAACAAGCGAGCCACCTCCAGGTGGAAATGTCACAACCTACCATAAGACAACAGCTCAGAGCAGAGAACAAAGCAAGCGCAGACCAGCCGTGTGCGGATGAGTGCCTAGACATGGCGGGAAGAGAGGCCAGCCATCCCTTCTCTCTCTCCTCAGATCAGTTGCTTCCTCCTTGTAATTCGTATTCTAGGCTCGAAAGTTGATTGAAGATAATACTCAGGGTTGATGAGGCCGTAGGGACATGGGCTGCTGATGCATTGCCAGGGGTAGCATATGTTCCTAGAGACTTCCGGTTACTGTTTATTCACTTACCTATTTGCTCACCCAACAACATAGATTGCCTCGGGCCTGGAGGAGCCAGTGGCAGAGAGTCCAGCTCAGATTTGGTCTAGGGGGTGACTGCTGGCTCCTGTAACGAAAAGTCAGGGGGTTGTAACTTCTTCAGCTACTGCTGGATCCAGGGGTTCAAAAACGCCTTCAGGGGTCGGCCCTGTGGCCGAGTGGTTAAGTTTGTGCGCTCCGCTTCGGTGGCCCAGGATTTCACCAGTTCGAATGCTGGATACGGACATGGCACCGCTCATCAAACCACGCTGAGGTGGCATCCCACATGCCACAACTAGAAGGACCCACAATTAAGAATATACAACTATGTACCGGGGGGGCTTTGGGGAGAGAAAAATAAATAAATAAAATCTTTTAAAAAACAAAAAACAAACATCTTCAAAACCTGCGCCTTCACTCAGCTACACACGTCAAAATGGTTAAGACAGTAATTTTTATGTGCATTTTACTACAATTAAAAAAAATTAAAAACAAAACAAAACCTGTGCATCACGCCCCACCCACCTCGGGCAGGACCTTTAGTGGCTGCCTTGCCCTGGAATCCCACCCCCTTGCACCGTTCAAGTCCGCGCTCAAGTGTCACCTCTTCAGAGAGGTCCCCCAGGCTTTGGCCACTCACTCTCACCCTTCAAAACATTTGCCACTTCCGGAAATTATCCTGGTTTTTACCTGTTTACATTTATGCTAGAATGTCGATGACTCCTGAGGACGGGGACTTCATCTTGGTCACTGCTGTTCCCCAGGCCAGGAACAGGCACTGCACAGAGTAGGGCTTAACCAATAGATGCAGAAGGAATAAAGGAAGGGATGTTCTCTCTGCCTCTCTTGGTCCCATTCTGCTTGCATTGGTACCGTTCTCAGGTGGGGTCTCTCTGTCCAGTGGCAAAATGGCTGCAGGCAGCTCCCATGTCCCACCGCTAATATTACCTCATGGTCAATATCACATCAACAATATGACATCATCCATGACTGCATCCTCCTCTCGGCCCTGAGTTCAGTGGGAGGAAAGGGCTTCTCACGCAAATGTCCCAAGATTGCAACTCATTGGCCCTGGCTGGGTCATGTGACCTTCCCTGAGCCCATCCCTGCGAGCAGGATGCAGTACTCTGATTGGCCAGGCCTGCGGCCCAGATCCACCAAAAGCAGATCCAAAAGCAACGGCAGGGCCATGGCCCCTGCATGCAGAGGGGAGTGGTTTCACCCGGGAAATCAGTGCGCTGATGCCAGACGAAGGGGCTCAGGTGCGGAGCAGGCAGACGCAACAGGCCAACGCTGTGAGCACCTCCGGTTCAGTGCCAGGCTCCAGAGATTCCAAAAAAAATAGCACTTTAATAACATTTGCTGGGTGAGGGCAACTCGATCCCTGACCTCTCAGCAGAGCCGGGGATACAGATCCGTGTGGTCACAGGATGTGTTTATGCCGAAGGCAGGCAGGGCGGGGGAGCACCTGCGACCCTCCCATGAGCTGGGATCTAGCGCCAGGTTGAAATGGGCCTGAGAGCCGGGGGCCTGCTGCACCCAGGGATTCCATGAACTCACTCAAAAGGAGAAATAAACTGTATTGTGCAAGAATGGTTGTTGCAGAGATATTTGTGATAGAAAAAACAAAAAAAACAACTGGAAACAACCCAAATATTGCCCAATAGGGGACTGGTTAACTACATTATGAAACATCCACTTGATGAAATATTCTGGAGCCATTAAAAACAATAGTTATGAAAACTACAGAGCAACAAGGGAAAAGGCATCTGTTCTAATGCACAGTGACAGCACAGAATACAAAACGGTGACCGGGAGATGCACCCATGTGCCCTGCCTGGGCCTCAGACTCGGAGACGCATGGGGGCGCCATTCCTGCCCCCAGGAAGCTCCTGGGGGAGATGTGAAAACAAGTATAAAGACACTTGGGGGGGGAGGAAGGCAACCCCAGAGGGGAAAGAGTTTCTGGGGGTCCGAGAGAGCTGCCCAGGGAAGTGATCTTTGAGCTGGCTTTTATGGGGAGGAAGTACTAAGACTGGCGCCATGTAGACATGTGGACACTTAGAGAAAAAGGCTTGAAGGCAACACACACACACACACACAATGAAAACGGTTGTGCCAGGTAGAATTATGGGTGATTTTTCCCCCTATTTTTTCCAAAATTTCTTTTATGTTATATTGTTTTTACAATAAAAGCTAGTAGAAAACTAAGCTCAGATACGGGAGCATAATTTTCGCTACCCGCATTCGTGTCTGTAAATCACACATGGGCTCCTAAGCACTTCACTTCCCCCACAGAGCAGGGTGGCGAAATATTTATTGAACATTTTGCATGTTGCCTGGCCCCGTGCTCTGCACTGAAGGGATGAGGCACTTACATTGCTAGTGGGAAGAACAAGGTATAAATATTCGAAATAGTAAATATTTTTTTAATATTTAAATAACGGTCCGGAGGACTTTGGTGTCCATGGCTGGGACACTGCCCTATGGGTGTCAGGACACGCGGACCTGGCTGAGACAGAGCAAACCCTGCCGGAGCAGATGGAGGTGTGCAACCAGACCGTCTGATTCTGGGAGAGGAGAAGCCGACAGGCACAGAGTGGGGCTTGCCTGTGGATAAGGGACAGGAGGTCAAGGGTCATGAATTGGGAAGGGCAGGAGAGGGTCAGTCCAGAGAAACAGAGCAGGACAGAGGTTGTGGGAGGTTTGCAGGTGGGGAAGGCCCCTTTTAAGGAGGCTCCAGATGCAGCTTCAAAGGGACTGAGTAGGGCGTGACAACATGGGGAGAAGGACACGCGTCATGTTAGAGACCTCTGCCCTGACCCCAAGCCTATCCCTGGCCAGTTGTGTGTATCACTCAGGGTTCTTAGCTCATCGTGGTCCAAATCCTGCTAAGAACCTGGCCAGTGAGGACAGCACTGCCATGCCAGCACCTTGATCACAGCCACACAGCACAGCCCCTGCTGCTCCTCCATCCAGAAGATTCTCCCCGACCCCTGCCTCTCTGCTCACCAGCTCCTGAGCCATGTCTGGGACAAGGAGCGTCTCACAGGCTGGGCATGGGCACCAACTCACAGCCTAGCTTCTATGGACAACAGAAAAGTGTGTCTCCGGCCTTTTTAGTTGCCACAGTGAGAAGTGAGCCTCATAAAATGAGTGTCTCTGGAGACACAGGATGGGGTTCAGATGTGCAGCTACCGTTCATCTCCATAGGAAGCCCCCACCCCTCACCCCACCCCTCACTCATAAGATGAGAAGGGGGAGACAAGATGGCAGACTGGACACTCGTATCTAATCGCACTCCTTTCCAGGCCCCACTAAAACCACAGCAAATGATTTTTTTAAAGACATCAACTCGATAGGAAGGATAACAGGGGAAGAGATGACAGCAGCAGGATTCTGGAAGCTGGAAACAGAGAGAGGAGTGGTACCCAACTGAGAAGTCCTGAGAGACAGAACAGTAGGCTGTCTGATTCTCTAGGAGAGGCTCAGGTCTGTTCTCGCCCCGGAGCCTGCAAGCCTGTGGAACGTGCAGCCCTGGGTACACCTGGAAAAGGGGATGAATGGCAGTTAAAACAAGAGAGAGCAGAGGAAAAGCTTTGGAAATCCCGTGGGAATCTAGATTCCCAACCTCACCCCAAAATGTTAGGTAACCACCCCTCCCCTCCTCAGCAAAAGTCCAGGGTTTATTCTCCGGATGAAGGAAGCAAAGCCCAGCTAAGAGCTCAGTTTCTGTACTGGAAACATGGGGTACAGGCTGCTG